TGTTGTGCTATTGGTATCTTTATCTTAGCAACAATGAAAAATCAATATCCTTTTCAGCAAGCTTTCTGTYACTCAGAATTCCTATTTCCTTTGAAATAGACTAAAGGAATTAAATTAATCCTTAAAGAAAGTGGTCTTGATTCCACTAGAGGTCACCCTAGGAATAAAATCAGTGCGCTGCATGCACAAGAACTTTTACAAAAACACCACTGTTTCTTGGTATTTCAAGCACAAATGTATAGAAGAACACAACACACAGGAACGTTATGAATATGAAAATTTTGAATTCCTAAGAGAAATCTTTCCCTTATTCTGAGGCTACTGCAAACTTACTACACTGCTCTTTAACATATTTTAGCCCTTGGATGCCTGGTAGCACTGGGGACACATTGCCTTATCTCTTGCAAAAAATATCCCAACCAAACAAAAAACTCAATCAAACAAAAAACACCAAAAAAACCCCCCTTTTAAATTATGGGCTTCAGATTATTTCTCTAAAGTTCTTTATTTAGTTCATACATAAGATATCATATTTCAGCACCAAAAATGATGGTCTTAAAACAGGCCATCTATTATTCTCCATGGATTATGCTGGATTTGTGTGGGAAAACACAAACTGCCAGTTTCCTCAGCTTCTGTCATTTTGTGATTGAAAACACTTGTGTCTCTTCATTTCATGGCATTAGTACAGATCAAGACTCTTCTGCTTCATATGAAAAAAGTTAAATGTCATCTCAGTTACAAGATGTAAAGCAGTGAAAGAAAACAAGCTYATTTTATGAAAATATGGATTTATTTAAACAACAGATTAACTCTGATGCAAACCAGCAGTTTGGAAGTGCTATGTGCTTTCCATTCACACAGATCACAACAGATGAGTTCAAGACAGTTATAATTATTAGACTAATTAATGTTACAGATGTCTGTGAGATGTCGCAATGGTTGCAGAGAGGACTACCATACTCTTATATGCAGAGCAGGTACAAACCATGGTGGACCAGCATTTCAAGTGGCATGTTCCACACTGGAAGAGTTCAAGGTGAGGCTGGATGGAACTTTGAGTAACATGATCTAGTGAAAGTTCCTCCCCATGGCTGAAGGGTTGGACTGGATGACCATTAAACCTCCTTTCCAACCCAAATCATTCTGTGATTCTGGGATGTAACACTCTAACAACTGGGAGCAGCAGTTCCCCACTCCAACTCTTCAGATATGCAGAAATGTGTCAGAAAACATATTTGCATCCCATCAGGTATCGGATATGTGGTAGTGGCAACATCACAATGGTTGGAGGAATCATTGCTTGAAATCCTTTCCTAAGACAGTCTGGAATAGTCCTGCAGGAGTACCCTGAYAAATTCATTATAGAGCACTGTCTGTCCCTGAGCTACTCTGGYGTTGAACATGTTCTTTCACTTTTAATCGAGAAAATGTGAGTAAGCAGAATGACAGATGCTATAAAGAAACACGCAGCAGGGGAAGAAAAAGGGCATAGACTGATATTAATATCTTCAGAACAGGCATCTAGCTTTGAAAAGACAGGAAAAGATGGTACAGACAAAGCTGTAGAAGGAAAAAAGACAAGGAGAAATTTCCCTACTTTGGCTTGAAACAAATATGTGTTAGAAATCCAAATATAAAAATAACGTGCCAAAATCTTTGCTCTTGGGCATTTGCCACATGAAAYCAAATGCTGGTATGCAATTTCAGGGATTCAAACATATCTGTTGTTTCTGACTCACCTTGTAATTTTATTTTTTATGAGGAATCAGCTTTTTCAAGGGAATTTTGCTTAAAAAAGAACTTGGGAACAACTCTTTGAACAACACAAGAAATACAGCATCTTATTTCTAAAATTCAAGTTACAAAACCTGGAAAAACAAGTGGGTTTTTTTTTTTTTTTTGCTTTGTTTTTTTTTGGTTTTTTAATAAAATTTTGATAAAACTATGCCTTNTCTTATTTCTAAAATTCAAGTTACAAAACCTGGAATTTTTTTTTTTTTTTTTTTTTTTTTTTGCTTTGTTTGGTTGGGGTTTTTTAATAAAATTTTGATAAAACTATGCCTTAATACTGAAATCTGTACAAAGGATGCAAATTCATACAAAGACCCACATTTGTACTACTTTTTTTCCTTTTCATTTTAWGTAGCTCCACAGAGACAGTGAAGTTGGATGTTAATTTACTGCCAACAAACCTCCTCAAAAAGAGAAAGGTTTTGCCATCAGGCTYTGCATTTTACAGAAATACTCGTTTAAAGCATCCTAAGATAATGATTCACTAGAACCAAGTAAAACACTCACTTCTCCTCTACAACACATCTACAACTTTACCAAGGGAAAKATTTTCTTTCCATTCTTTTCTCCCATCTTTTCCACCCAGAAGCATGTTTGTGACCCAGTGTTGTTGCTGTCAATACCTAAGCAGCATGCACATTACTTCATTTTAAATACTACTCCAAAATGCAGTTAGGCATGCAAAAGGAATTCTAAATACTGTGTAAAAGTAGAGCTAAGCATGTTACTCTGAAACATCTTAATGAAGACAGCTAAAAGAAGTTATTTGCGTAAAATGGTATTTTTGCAGTTAATAAAGATGAAAGTCACACTGAGGTAAATCCTTGCAAATTTACATAAAGTATTCAATGCTTCTGGTGGTGTACTGACAAACTTTGAGCAATCCCTTGTCTCTGATGAAACCTCTCATCTACTCATGTCCTTTGTTAACTCCCAGCATATGGTGTTTTAAAAGAGATAGCTAAGAGCAATGGACTAAGTGGTGGCATTTTCCTTGAAAAAGAAATCCACATCTTAAGCACAGCCGTAAGGGAAACAGATCTCCACTCTTTAAAATCCAACTAGAATAGCTTCTTGAAGAGTTTTAACCATAAAATGCTTGAAGTTAAGAAAAAAAAATAAAAAGGGCAGCTGGAAGATGTTAACTTGGTTTCTAGTTGAAACAATGGTGTGTTTTATTTCATGTTGGGATTTCAACAGACTCTTAATTAGACCTTTTACCATGCAGTTTTCATTTAAAAATATGTTGATGACATTCTGATCATCAAGAAGTTCCTGGGAGACTTGACACCTGTTACTCTTTGAGAGAACACTAATCCAGAAAGGCAGGCAGGCAAATAATAGTCCCCAACTCATAGAATAAATATTAAGTCTAAATATCCAGAGTATTTAAAATAATAATGTAAATACTGGAAAATGCTTTGTGCGGTCCAGACTTAGTGAGAATAAGCAGACGGCAATGCTCAAAACAAAAGGCTAAAACACATGGTTGCCTGCTATGAGGTGAAATACTAATAGAAYATTTACTCTGTGAATGTCTAGCTGGTAATATCACTACTATGGCATTTCCTAAAGACATGAAAAATTATACTTACCTATGTTATGAAGAACAGCTRAGTTATTGAAAATAGCATTTGAAACACTATTTTTCTATGTAGCAAAAAAATCCCTGTACAAGGCTAGATATTATCATTCAGATTGAAACACACATTCAGAATAAATTAGTTCATTTTTCAAAACATAGAATGAGGAATTCTCATAAACAGGTCTGCTATGATTCATCTTGGTGCAACTTGTAAGAATGGCAAAAAAATTACCAAATAGACAGTATTAAAACCTGGAGTGAATTGAAGAAAAAAATCCATGTTATTTTGAAGATAGCACCTTTAGATTGAACTTCAGATTGACCAGAGGAAGGGAGAGAGGGCAGGGGAGAGAAAAGTTGGACAAGGCTCATAACAGTCATCTAGTTCTCTTCAGGGCTGGCCAAAAGTGAAAGCATATGACAATTAAACAAGGGTGTTCAAATGCTTTGTCAGGTATGGGGCATAGATCACCTGTCTAGGAAGCCTGTTCTTGGTAAAGCATATTTTCCTAATATCAAGTCTGAACCTCCTCTGATGCAGCTTYGAACCTTTCATATTTGTCCTGTCACTGGATAACAGGAAGAAGAGAGCAGCAATTCTTTTCTCATACTGATAAAAATCAACTGAGTTGGACTCCTGGGATTTATTGATATAAACAAAATTATTTTTAGYGCTGATTTTTAAATCAAAATAAAAAATTATAATGATATGAAACCATAACATTATCACCAAAGCTTGAGATGCATGGGTAAATTAGAAGGAGAAATGATTTTGTTATTCTGCAGTAACTTACTTGCCCAACTTTTGGAAGAAAAGATAGTCCCCAAATTTTCTCTCTCTTATTAAGAGACAAATGTTCTGTATTATTCATAGAAATACACATATCAGCTGCAATCTGGTCTGAGTTAGCTCCATCTTTTATGTGAAATAGGTCTATTAAGGCTCATTTTAGGATTCTTTTATGGCTCTAAATGAGGGGGATCTAAACTGTGATTGCCCTAGCAGTTCTCCTTGAAATTTTGGCTGAAGTTTACTGTCCCAAAAGTGGAATTSTCTTATGAACACTCCTAGGCCATTTCAGTACAAAGTCAGTGGAGTCAGCTTAAAGCATCTAAAACCAAATTCGGATAACTTTACACTYATGTGAACAACTTACACAGACACTTTCAGCTTTACAGCTGTGTCAACAGAAACTGCAAGAAACAACTTCTCAACTTCTAAAACAAGACATGAGAGAAATGACCGGTATATGCCTTCAGTCCCCCATGGAATGAAAAAAATTAAAAAGGATGTTARATTGTGGCAACATGGCTACCAGCTCAGACTCAGGGGAAATCAATGTCTGTTAATGGGATTTCAGATTAGACTCATCAGAAATCAAACTCCCAAATCTGTAATCATTGTGTATTATTTTTCTTACCACACATGAAATCAGATGTCTTTTGAGACAAATTTCTGACAAAGTTCACAGAGTCCATGTTCTTTGTAGTGTGGACTATTGTAGAAATACTGTGGCAAAAACTGTCATAGAAAATACAATCTGCCTCCCAAGCAGATGCAACCATGGGAGAGAGCTTGTTGACCCTGTTCTATCTTGTATCTAAAATGTTATGCTCTTACCTAGAGCTGCTCTCTGAATCTGCCTCTGGATTATCTTTCCTTTCAGATGGTCTGTAAAAGACACAAAATGAAAATAATAAGCATTCAAAATGTCAAAAATCAATTACACATTGTCTATTTCCCACCATTTGAAACTCCCCATGCTGCTGGCCAGTTTTAGGGTTTTTCTGTGGTCCATGAGACAAGTGATTTTCTGAGTTCTCTGTACTGCAAGTAAACAGGCACAATGTGACTCTACTGCATGTAGAGTCATATACTGGGATTTAACTGTCCMGCAGGAAAGAGAGAAAGTGAAGCATTGACTGTCAAGCACTTTCACAGGATAATCGCCTGCTGCTATATACAAAACAAGTCCAAGTGGGATCAGAAGACAAACAGAGTTCCAAGCATTTGTTCAAACAGAGGTGCTTACAGTGGAGAGGAGATAGTAGATCACTAGCCCATCCCTTTGACAATGAAAAACTGGTTCCCCACAATCCATTTTTTCCTATCTGTCCCATTCAGTTTTAAATATCCCATGCACTAGAGCTTCTGCAAGTTCTACTACTGTCCGGTTCTGGCCAGGACAAGGTTAGTTTTTTCAGTAGTTGGTAGGGGACACGGCAAAGACCATGAGGTTATCTTGTACTACCTCACATCACTGCTGGGGACAGGAGAAGGAGACTCTCTTCTGGAGAGAAGGATTTATTGAATGCATCAGAGGGAGACATCCTGTATTGTCTGATACTGGGGGGGGATTTCCATGTGGATGATTTCTTTTCCTSTACCCTCTGTCATTAGTATTGTCATTGCTGYTTGTTTTCTTATCTCATTGCTGTTTCCAGTAAATTTTTCTTTTAATCTGTGATCTTTGCCTCTGGTGCCTCCARTTCTCCTCTCCAYCCCACTACMACTGGGAAGGGGAGGGGAGAATGGGGAATGAACGAGAGCAGTGCATGGTTTGGAAAGTCTTGGTGGGGGCACTGAGCTGGGGAATAACATTCCTAAATCATGAAAACTACACAACAGGACTCACTGTGTAGATGTCATTGGTTTTCAATCAAAAATAAACTACTTTCATTATCTCAKTATTCCTAGTTAGGCTCCCATGCCCCGTTCAATTCACTTTTACCCTTCTTTACTYGATTTCCTCCCTGACCTGTGAAAATGGGACAGTTTACCAATTATTCCAAACAATAATTAGTTTACCACATGGGAAACCATTATTCATAAATATTAATRGAACCAATAAAGGAAAAACATAACCCTAAATATGCAATTTCAGCAGTTGTGTTCTGAAGGGGGATAGGATTATGCCTCTCAAATTTTCAAATTAAAACAATTTCTAAGCAGAGACTGGTTCACAATCTTTACTAAGATGCACACCTGGATACCAGGGAAAGAAAAAAAAAAATCCATGCTGGATTCACCTTTTTTCCCCCCAGATCTGTAATTATCTGTATCATATTAGCAAGCATTTTGAATTAAAAATATCCTTTTTCTTACAAAGTAAACTAATCAGAGACAAATTAAGTCATTAAAAGGTGGCAAATGCTCAATCAGAGAATATAAAAAAACATTCAAATTCACAGGTCATGAGAATTAGATTGTTCTGTGAGCACAAAAGAACCATAATAAAWTAAAGTTCTTTGGAAACTGTGAGAATAATTATTAAGTATTTAGTAGCATAATAGGAAAGGTATCATATGCATTACATTGTAGTATAACAGTCAAGTTTTGTTGTTTTGAATATTAATAGAGTGACTTGAAATAGATATTGATCTATAAAATAGATATTGAGTTGTATTTTTCTGCAGAGGAAGTTTTATTMTTTTTAATTATTTTTAATTAAACCAATGAACTTTTCTGTAATAAAAGTTTTCTGTAAAATGGGGAAAAATTATCTGTAAAATTAGGAAAAGCCTTCAGCTACTGAGAAACAGGTTTAGTGAAATAACTAATAATTAATAACTTCACCTAACCCTGCTATAAAACCAAATAAATCCTCCCATCTCAGCTGTACTAACATTCAACCAAAAAACCACAGTTAAATAAGCTGACTCCTGTAACTATAGAAAAAAACCTCTTGATTACGAGTTTTTACCAATAAAAGCCCAGTTGGATTATCAACATTCATGTTATTTGTACTTTGAAAGCCTTATAAAGCAACTCAGTTGATTTCACTAATCAGTCAAATGTGATTAACATGCCACTTTTTCCTCAAATTGTTTTTTGGCATTCTATTTAGATCCTTGTATTCCATCGCACTGTCACACAGGGGGATGCTACTCAATATTGAGCCATGAGACAGCCATGAAACAATTTGTAGTAATCTTGAAATTCATCTCAACASATTACCATTAACAGAGATGCCTTAGAACTTATCATTATGTAAGGACTCAGAATCTCTTTCTTACGCACTGTGAGCTGCAAAAGGTAACTGCCACTGTCATCTGAAAAAAAATGGTTCTAGTAGTGACAAYAGGCTGTTCATCAAGAGCCAACAGAAAATGAGGGTGACATAGAGCTCTCAATTCTGTCAATATATGGTGTTATTTCTCCTTCTTTAACCTTGCTAGAAACAGATCACCAGCAATCTRAATGTTTTGCATTTCAAGTGGCAATGAGGTCAACTGAAAATAAGCAAGCCAAACAAGTCAATGAGAGTAAGATCAAACAGACARCAGCTGGTCATCAATACAAATATGTTTCCACACAAGAACATTGGGACTGGATTTTAAATTATTATAGCCAAGAAGCTTGACTTGCAATTATGCAGATTTTACTCTGAGCATAGCTGGGACAGAAACCACAGAGGCTGCAGAAGCTCTGCTTGTATTGCAAGCTTTGTCAGACCATTCAACAATGTGAAACTGTCCCAAATGTTCCTCTCTCTCTTTATTCTAGCCTTTGTGCACTTCTACTCCATCCATGGCATGGACCATGATGTTGCAAGAAAACATCTTCTTCTATTTGGCAGCTTTGTGAAAGAATGAGAAATTTAAATCAGACCACCTGTAATCAGAGAGGAACCAAAGAAAACTTCTCCATTGGCTAGAAAAATAAAACTCCAACCCTACAATTCTTCTAGCAAAAGAGTTTTCTTTTTCTTCTTTAGAWAGCAATAGAAAGGTGACATTTATCTAATTCACATAGRYCAAACYGMAATTTCAGGGCAGCAAAGCTGAAYTTTATTTCCCAGAAATCTTCCCGAWGAGAAACTGAGTTTGTATTATGGGAAAGGTAGCCCAAATAGGAATTCTGCTTCAGGGGACATGGTGGTATCATGAGGCACCTGATTATAATTCAATATGAAGATTTAGCCAGATATGATTTAATCTTTCAATTTGTTTTAATCCAATTTGAAATTTGACAGTTTGTTTAGATTTYATTTGAGAAAAAAATTGTTTTCACATAGAAGCCCTTATTTTTGACAAAACCTTAAGATTTTCTGTGCATGTTTTTGATTAAAGTAATCTTGTTTTGTTTTCACTATAAATACTTGTGGGGGAGAATGAATGTTTCTGACCTGGTTTACTTTTTTGCCTCTGAGARCACCCTTGCTCCAGTGCTAGGCTTGAAGTTCTTAAGTGACAGAAGCAGGGGATGATTCCAGCACTGTTGCCTGCACAGATCTTCCCATATAAACAAAAGGAAGATTTCAGTCTTAAGTACTGCCAGTTCTACAGTCTTCATAAACACAAATATTTACCCAAAGAAATATGAGGAATCACATTCTCATAAAAAAACCCCACCATGTCTTCTGATTCCAGCAGTGTAAAGTTGTGGACGAGGTAGTACTTAAATGTGGTTTGCAAAAATTGAATTTAAGATGTGGAGAACATCTTTCAACATATGGCTAATTATGTTTTCTGAAGTTTCACCAAAAAAGAAGCTAAAAATAGGTCTATACATGACACCAAATAATTTTTTCCAGCAGAGTCATTCTTCATATGGAGATAAYGGTCCCAATAAAATGTTGAATGCTGCAACTCCACATGTTTTGGCAAGAAAAGTAGTTTTGGGGAATTTAAGAATTCACTCAGCATGCAGCCAGCTGTCATTAAGGCTGTGATAAATCTGTTGGTTTTGGCCTGCATTTCTGGACACATGTACCATCCTGAGGTATGGAAAAGAGATGAACTGGTAACACAAAACTTCAGCTTTGTGACAGGAGACAAAAGCAAGGAGGGAGATGAAGAAGACAAAATGGAATAGAGAAATCTAATTAAGACTGATGTAAAGAAGAGAAAAGTATTCCATATGGTGACTAAATATGACAGAATATATAACTTGAATAATACAGCTGTCCTTTAACCTGTCTTTGCWTTGTTCCAGACTGTTTCAAGGATCTGAAATTATGTTCCAATTTATTGCAGACAATGAATGCTTTGACCTGAAGCATATGCTTCAGGACAGWGCAAAAGTGAATATCTTACAATTAAAAACAACACTGATTAAAAAAAGTGGTTTTGTTTTGTTTGGGTACACATTACAGGTTTTAAAGCTTCTCTTATGTCTTATTAGATCCTCAACACAATACTATTATAAGGTTTCAAAGACTAACTCAAGAACTGACAGGCTAAAGCCTTTGTCAATGACTTCTTGTGTCTTGTTATTTTTTAGTATTTTTSTATTATTTTACATTTTCCAAACCTGCATTTATCCTACTACATTCTTTTATCATGGAGATCCTGAAACCTTCACACTGCAAATATGATGCTGTATGTCTTAATTTCTTCATTGTTAAATCATATTTGGTGTTACATAAAATATGTAGCAGAACATCWTTTTTTGCATCCAGGGAACCTCTGATCCCTGGAATTCACCCTCCAGGGTATTTTGGGTCCCTAATCATGCCATATGATATTAGATGTTTCAGTTTTTTCTGTTTTCACACTGCCACACCAGTCATTAGGCTTGGGGTCTGCAAGAAGCTGAGGTGGAACACAGCTGGCACAGATGACATCAGTGGGCCAAAGGGATATTCCACACCACATGGCATCATGTTTAGTTTAAAAAGGCTGGGGGAGAACAAGAATGAAGCAGAGTCATTTGGAATGATGGTATTT